TCCTTCTTCTGGGGCCTCTCCTTCTTCCGTTCTCCCCTCGTCCGCCTTCAGATGGGCTGCATCGAGTTCCGGCCCGGAGCGGGAAAAGCCGCACTCCGCTTCCGGGGAGGAGGAGGAAGAAGAGGAGGAGGAAGGGCGGCTATTGGGGCTGGCAGCCGAGGGGCGGGAAGGCGGCAAAATCGCCTGTCCGGGCCGGGCCGCCGTGCCGCTGCCGCAGCCGCGCTGTGCCTGCTCAGCCGGCCGGCCTCAGCCACCTCACACGGTGCTCGGCCCAGCCCGGGCATCTGCCAAGGTCCTTCGCGAAAATCTTGCGGGAGGCATTGTTACCAAAGGCAATGGTGAAGTCCAGATACACAATGGTCGTTGCTCCACTCATCTACCAGGGAAGTCAATTTATCACACAAGTTTGTCAATCTGGTCAAGCCTGGTTTCCCCTTGGTAAAGCCATACTGACAGCACAATGATTTTCTTGTCGTGGAGGTACCTGGAGATAGTTATTGGGAATGGCTGCTTCATTACTTTCCCAGGGATCAGGATGAGGCTGTCTGGCCTGTGGTTCTTCCTGCCTTCCTCTTTCCTGCCCTTCTTGAAGATGGAGGTGGTATTTGCTTTCCTCCAGCCTCAGGCACCAGTCCCAGACATCATGACCCATGAAAGATAATTGAGAGTGATCTCGCCATGACATCTATCAGCACCCTCAGCACCTGTTGCTGCATCCTGTCAGGGCCCATAGACTTAGCATGCCTATGCCCATCTTGCTAAGGTGTGTACATTATTCCCTGGCTTGATCCTCTCCCACCAAGGGTACATCTTCCTTGGTCCAACCCTTCCCCCTGATTTTTGGAGCCTGAATCCCTGAAGGCTGGTCTTGGTAGTGAAGACTGAGGCATGTACTGTGTCACTATGTCGTCTATCTCATTTAGCAATGGGCCTACATTTTCCTTTGTCTTCCTTTTGTCACCCATGTTCTTCCAGAAGCTGTTCTTTTTATCTTTGACATCCCTAGCTAAGTCCAATTCCAGTCATGCCTTATCTTTCCTAACTTCATCACTCTATGCTTGAGCAATGTTTCTGTATTTCTCTGAGATAAGCCATCCTTGCTTCCATGCTTTGTATGCTTCCTGTTTGTGTTAGAGCTTGACCAGGAATTCCTTGTTCATCTACATAGGTCTCGTGGCATTTTTGCCTAACTTCCTGTTCACAAGGATAAACTGTTCCTGTGCTTGGAGGAAGTTCTCAATAAATATTAACCAGCTTTCTTAGGCCCCTCTTGCTTCCAGAGCTATATCTCATAGGACTCTTCCAGGCAGATCTTTGAAGACACCAAAATTCACTCTCCAAAGTGATGAGCCTGCTTTTTATTCTTCCCCCTCCCCTCAGGATCCAGAGCTCCACCATCTCATGCTCACTGTGGCCAAGGTTGCCTTGAGCTTTATATTTCCCACAGTCCCTTCATGGGTACAGGTCCAACAAAGCATTGCTCATTCTTGGTCCTTGTTGACTCCTTTATGACTTGAAAGAAGTTACCAGAAACCTCCTGGATTACTTATGTCCTGCTGTATTGTCCCTCCAGCAAATACCTGAATGGTTGAACTCCCACAGGGGCTTGCAAACACAAGGCTGCTCCTATCTAGGAAAGGACCTCGGAGATCTCTCCATTATGGTGTCTTATAGACATTTCTTTGCGTACATTCAAGAGCTGAAGGTGATCTCTCCTAAGCTCCATCTTCTTGATTTTGTGTTCTCTTTCTCCCATATCACCTTATGCCCTTTGGTTTTTTCTGTGTCCATCAATCCCCCACAAGGCTGCTGGTTACTTTCTTGCTAAATTCTTACTTTCAATCTCTGCTTATATGGTCATAATCCTAATGGTAAAAATAGCTTTGCCCTGCTTAGTGAGGTGGATTTCATCTCTATCAAGCAGAACATGATTTGCAAGCAGGGTCTCATGGTCATACAACTCAAATCCTTGTCACCAACACAAGTTCTGCCAACAAGTATTGACTTGTCCTATCAGTGCCCCCTCACTGCTAGGATTGAGAAAACATCACTCAGACCCCCACACCCATGATTCTTGCTATTTATCTGCAACTGCTCTCCTGCTTGTTCATATAGCTACTTTTTGCCACCCAAAGTAAAAGTCAGTATGAGTCATCTTTACTCAATGCATTGACTTTGAGTAAGTAATTGAGTAAGTAACGTCACCTTTGAGTTGTGTATCAGTATAAAAGAGCTGCTTGCACACCTGCAAAGCACTTCACTGGTGTGTGCTTATCAGATCCTGTAGACACAGGAGAGGAAGAATTCAAGGTTGCTTGTTAAATTTTGGTGTTATGCAAGAGAATAAACAACTATCAGCAATATCATATAATATTCTGTAGGGATTAATTAATGCACTTATTTTTCTTGAAAACACAGAGTTACTAGTGTTAGTTTTAAGCCTCTTTCCATGTGAATGTAAAAACAGCTCTGTGGTAGAAGATACACATACTGAGCTACTTGTTGTATCTACTAGTTATATACTCAACAGCTGTACGACTTAATCACTCTTGTTGGAGTGTATAAACAACACTCATTGGTCTACTTTTATTTCATTATTAAAATAATGGAAACCTGACTGCCACTTGGAAAGTCATTGTTGCTGCCTAAACGTTAATATTTTGCATTTGTAACTTGAATTTGCTAACAGAAAATTGATACCAGTCATTCTGTTTGTAGCTTGTATTTGCATTTGATAACTTTTGATTCTTGAGAATAGATAATATGACAACCTGTAGTAAAAAGTTACTAGGGCAGCATGATGGAATTATATTTCCAAACTCTGAGACCCTATGCAAATGATGCTCAATTAAATATGAATTTTTCAGTAGTCATTCATGTAAATGTTTACTCTTGCAATGACCAGTCCAAATTTCCTCCTTGTATGTAAACAATACAGTTAAGGAAAAAAAATAGTAATGGAGTTCCCATGCAATAATTTACAATATGCTAACAAAAATCTGAATTCCAAAATTTGTGTATTTAATCTAATTCCTGTGAAAGAACCGTTGTCAGGCTTTGGGCCAGCTTAGGAATGTTCTTATCCAGAACTTGCTGGGGAGTGTAGGGAAGGTGAGGTAAGAAGGAGCAGGGGTTTTGTTAGATCTTCATGAGATCTCCAAGTCCAAAGCTCAAATGAAGTCTAGATATCACATAGGTTGTGGAAGCTGTTTCAGAGCAGATGATCTTTATAAACTTAGTAATGCTCTCTAGCAACTAATTCCACGTATTCACTATATGCCCTTAATTATAGAGTAGGTTTAGATGAAATATTATTAGGAAGAAATGCCTTACTGTGATGGTGGTAAGGCACTAGAACAGGTTGCCCAGAAAACTTATGGATGTTCTATCCCTGTAAGTGTTGGATGGGGCTGTGAGCAGCCTGGGGTAGGGGAAGATGTCTCTGCCCATGACAGGGAAGTTGGAACTAAATGATCTTTAAGGTCTCTTCCAACTTGAACAATTCTATGATTTTAATTCAAACATATTTTTCAAACATATTTCAACATTCTTGCTTCTCTCCTCGCTCCCTTTAAGTGAAACACTGATTGCCTTTATAACCATTGATTTCCCTCTTGTATCAACATGGCATACTGCCACTTACTCATGATCTAGAAAATTCAGATATCTATTGGTTTGGGTTTTTTTACTCCTATCTAGATACCCTAATAATAGGGGACGTGAACTCAACACGCATTTAACTCCTTGATTCATTAAACAGTACATTTTTTCAGTAAGGCTTTTATCCAATTCTTCACATATCTCAATATTCCTCCTGTCTTAGAAAACAAGCGTGCTTTCCTGACCACTTCATGATAAACAGTTACCAAATTTTTTTCCATGCTAACCTTCAAATTCAATCTAATATACAGTAATATAAATAAATAGTTCAAATTATTAGTTTTAGTATTGCTTACCTTTTCAGTAGTAAATCTCCAGTTACTAAATGACATACAGTCTAATGCCACTACTACAGCTTCTGTAGCAGCCATCAATCTTCTTCCATTCTGAGGACTGCAAATAATGTGCCCTCTGTTGCTCAGAATTTTACACTTCAGAACATCACAGATTTACCTATAACAGATTAATTTTTACTTTAATGCAAATTTTTGGAGAAGCAGCATTACCAGCATTACGCTGATCTGATGTCCCTTTCTATTCCTTTTGGAGTTTCTAACCTGTGATTATCTAGTCTTCAATTTTGTATTATCAGAGTTTGTCAGGGTAATTTTGAAAAAAAAAACAGTTTTATTTTGTACCTTTCTGGTCATACTGCAAGATATATGGCCCTTTTGTTAATGGTATAGCTGTATAACAGCTATTTAGTTCTTTCATCCAGAGGGATAGCATTGTTTCTATACTTTAGTAGGAGGAAGTAACTGTCTTTTTCCAGCTTGCTCACTTCTTGTCCTTTGTTACAACATTAAAATATCTCCTTCCATTTGTTGTTCCTTTTGTCCAGAATACCTACCTATCTCCCTGGCCCATGCCTGGGAGCAAATCCTCCACCCTACCATGAAACTCCTCTTACACCCTTTGTGGCGAGCTGCCAGCCCCATTGGTTTTCCTTTGACAACTCACCAAGGCAGCAGAATAGAACAGCACGAAGTGCAGCAGGATCTGCAGCACCACACCAGCCACAGGGAGAGCAGCTGCTCACTTTCAGCCCCACCTACCTGCCCAAGAGCTTCAGCACCTCCCAAAGGGCAGAGCAGCTGCAGCTGTGCGACATCAGCTGTGACAGCTTTGAGGTTAGAGTGCCTTTGTAAGGTGGGCCAACTCCTTCCCCAGGTAAAATGAGAGCTTTACAGAAGCTGGCTTCATAACAATTATTAAAGAGAAAGAAAACCCAAAAAATGAGTGAGAGAAAAACTCCAACCTTGTATGTTTGCGTGTACCACAGAGGCTGATGTAAGAGAAGGCCGATTAGACAGTGAGAACAATAAAACTGCACTAAGGCGTAGTAATATTTCATTTTATTTGATAGAAATTCACTTCAAAAATATGATTAACTATATACATTATTATATATGCTGTACATACAATTACATATACAAAATTTACATAATAGCAAATTTCCTTCTGTTACATTTTATAGGTGGTAGTTAATAGCATGAGATAGAACTAACATATTTCATACATGCTTTCATCCTGATCCTATCTACAAGGAATTGTTAGGTGAGAGATGAAAAAGGATAGAAAATCACTTAATTTGTACCCCAGCTCACAAACAAGTCTTCTCCACAGTGCAGTCTATTATTACCTTGCACTAGAGCAGTTAGATTTGCCGCACTTCCCTTCAACAGTATTTGGCTGACAACTTTATCTTCAGATTTTTTTTGTTATATTATTTCTATTTTATTTCTGTAACTCAGATGTCCTGAAATCTTCCTTAAATCAAGCTAGATTTCTTCAACTTAATGTCACTTCATTTTTCCAATCTGATTTGTTAGTTGCTTGTTTGCCATGTTTGTTGTAGATTCAGCTAATAGTACTTTCAGTTCTGGGAGAAGTACACTCAAACAGGAAAGCCATAGTCCCAAGCATTCACTCCTTCCCATGTCAGCATGCTGGAAACCTGAAATCAGTCACCAAGGAAAAAAATCATAAAACCACAGAATATTCTGAGTTGGAAGGGACCCATCGGGATCATCTAATCCAACTCCTGGTCCTGTGCAGGACACCCCAAGAGTCGCACCATGTGCCCGAGAGCATTGTCCAAACACTTTTTGAACTCTGTCAGGTTTGGTGCTGTGACCACTGCCCTGGGGAGCCTGTATCTTCCACTCCTTCTCCTAAGGCTGTTATAGAGTTTGTGTGACTGCCAGCTGCTTTCTGGAAGAAGTGGTGTCAGATCTCAAGGGCAACTGCCCAGATACCGGGATTTTTCTCGTCCCATGAGGAATTTTCTGCCTGTCCACCTTTTCTCTCAGCAAGGGGTAGCATACCAAAATCAAAACACAGGGAGCAGAGGCTGGCAACTCTGCACTTTACTAGTTACTTCTGCTGAAGTGTCCTCTATTTCCCCACTGAAGGGACCAGGCACCCTTATCCCATGGACCTGATGGTCAGGGAAGGAGAGGAGGTAAGAGCAGCCAAACCAGCAGAGTGCCAGCAGCAGAATCCCCGTAAGAGAATGGCTACCATAACTAAATAGGCTCTCCTGGAGGATTTTTCCCTGAGCTACAAAGGAACATGGCTGCTTCCATTGCCTTTCCTACTTTGAGAGGTTAAAAAGTAACTGCTTCTTTCCTGTGGATAGCTTGAAAGTTGTAGTTTCATTGGCCTAAGAAAGTTATTTTGTTTTCCAAGTTAGTAACAGCCTTAAACATCTATTTAATTTCTTCTACTCCTGTGCTGGCCCCAGTTTTCTCTCCATATAATTTTATCTTTTTTGCATTAATATACAATAACTTTCTTTGATCAGTTAAACAGATTTCCCTCAGCTGTCAAGGTGAAAGCAAGGGGAATTATGGTTCCTCATACATATTCTTTTGGTAGTACTTTAAATAATGCTTTTTTCTAACTAAGGGGAACTCTACTTGTATTCTTCAGTACAAGTTTTAATTACTGCATAACATGCATATATCTTATAACATCTTAAATTCAAATATATTAATACGCCTTCAATTTTTTTCTAGACTATGGGATTTTTATTTGTTTGAGAAAAAAGTTCTCAGGCTTCTATCTCTGTCCATTTTGGACACTACCCTACTTCTACTACAATTTAGATACTATTTATTTTTTTATCTTATACTGCTTCTTAATCTCCGTTGAGCACATGAGCTGGAATGAAACACCTGTTATTCCTTGTCTGAATTCCTGAGATCCTGACCACAGCCCTGGCTGGGAGAGGGTGCTGGTGAGCTGCTGGCGAGTTGAGACTCCACCTTAGAAGAAGTGGGTTTGGGACACTCCTGCTGACCTTCTGGGGTGGGAGGTGGAGGAGTCAGGCAGCTGTCATTTTGCTGAAGTTGTGCATTAGCAGCTGGTGAATCATCATCCTGCTGGTCTTGTGTACAAGGAGGAACAGCCGAAGAGATGATGCCCTGAGGAGCAGCTGTTGAACCGCTGTTGAGACAATTTATAACTAAGTTTGAGATATTAACATTAAATGTGCAGTTAGCATTGTTCTTAGTTTCCAAGCTCCAGGTTGTTTATTAGCTAGTTAAATAGTTTTCTTCACTGTCACATTGCTCTTTTCCTTGTTTCACCTCAGCTTCATGGATCTGAGATGGAAATTTGTCTGTTTCATTGGATTTGTTTCCATATTTTTCTCTTGGATCATAATTCTACTCTATGGAAAGGTGGAGGAGGTGAGTAAGGAAGAAATAGCAGCAAGGGGGGGAAATAAAAGCTGCAGCAACACTAGTTTTTAAAGTTAGTAACTTGTTTGGAAAACCGGTTACTAAAGGTCCTGCAGAACAGAATTTTCTCTACCCCTCTCTGTACTTCATTGCTGGAAGATGGTTTGAAGGAGTAGCAGTGGGATTATGAGCACTTTTTAATTGTCTTACTTTTCTTACAGAAAATGTGTGTCATCTGAGTTAATGGAATCACTAAGTTACCTTGATTACTTAGGTGGTGCTTAACTGCTTTGACAGTGAGGAAATGCTTAACAGATGCAAAAAAATCATTATAAATGCATCAATTCAAAAGACACTATTCAGGCAATATCTGAATTGGTCACAATGGATATTGGATTGGATTTTACATAAACACTAATCAATAACAGACATAAGGGCATTTTTAAAATATTGAAAGGACATTTTTTAAATATGGGGTTTAAATTGGAAGGTCCATAAACAATATTAAATAACAACCCAGAATTGTAGTAGTATAGTCAAGTTCTTCCTATCAAGGCTTCAAGACTACTGTGTACATTAGAAGACTCAGGAATTAGCAAAAATGTATGAATCCATCTGATGGAGATAAAGATTTAAAATATTTAAGACTTTAACACTTTCAAAGAAGACAAAATTTGTGGTTTTGTGCTATTATTTTTCATGTCTGTGTTAAGGACAAGGAAAAACACTACAGTGAATCATTGCATACTGTATATTACAAATACACAGGACCTTTACTTCATGAAGTCTTCTCTTCTCATTAAGCATTAACATAGTAAACTTCATTTTTGCCAGGCTGGTGCCTTTGTTTATTGTTTCCAGAGGGAAAAACCTGTGTATGTGAATTTTCATAACAGATATTTGTATATATTTCTCAAATAATAATTCACAGACCACTGGTGGTCCATGGAGTACTACCAGGCAGTTTAGAAAGAAATTTTAGAAGCAAAGCACTACTACTTTTCAAACATTTGTGTCATAACGTAGACAAATATCTTGAGCTGCTTCTTATTTGTTGTTGTTGGGGTGCTTTTTTTTTGTTGATGTTGTTTTGTTGGGTTTTTTCTTATGAAGTGTCTTACAGCTGCAAATTTGGATTTTAAAAACATGCAGGGGATAAGTGAACCAGGAAGAAGAAAAATGCTACTCCATTATAGAAAGTCTAAGTAAAGACAAGTATCTTTTCCCTGTCACCCTATTTTAATCTCTTGTCCTGTTCCTTGCTCATTTCTTATCAGGTTCTTGAGGAGAGCTGAGGCAGCTGAGCCTGTTTAGGCTCTAGAAGGCTCAAGCTGATCTTATCTGTGTGCACTGATGCAAGAGTGTAAAGTAGATGGAGGCTCTTCTCAGTGGGGCCCAGTGGCAGAACCAGAGGCAATGGGCAGAAATGGAAACACAGGAGGTGCTGTGTGAGCATCAGCCAGCACCGTGAGGGTGGCGGAGCAGCAGCGCAGGGTGCCCAGGGAGGTGCTGGAGCCTCAGCCAAACTGTGCATGGCTCTGAGCAACCTGCTCTGGGTGACACTGCTTGGAGCAGCAGCAGCTGGACCAGCCAGCCTACAGGGGTCCCTTCCAGCTCCACCCTTCTGTGGTATGTACATCTGGAATATGTGGAAACAGTGCGGGGCAAATAGCTGACTTCACCACCTGTAGCCTTGTATTTGGTAATTTTATATTAGTTTCATGCACAAAGCGAACATACCCAAAATAGGTAATATATTATTTAATAATTACTCTGACCCAATAATTTAAACTCCTTTGGCAATAAAGGACTGCCAGCTTAGCTCACCTACAGTACTCTTAAAAATACATCCCAAAGAGGTGTGATTTTCCCTATATTCACTTGTGGGTTAATTGGGGTACAACAGGTGACATGAAATTGGAATTGACTGGTCTATGGTGAGCCAGAGAATAATAAGAAACATGAATAATGTCAAATCTAAAATAGACATATTCAGCAAAGCAACTCCATGTGTTTCCTTCTGTTTTCTCTTCCTGTAATTTAACAGTCTTGTGCAGCTTTGTCTGGCACCAATAACTATTTTTGTGCAGTAATGTTATGCTAGACTGCTTCTGTATTATGTACTTCGTACAAGTTTATGGAAATATTTACTGGCTGGGTAGTACATATACCAAGTAGGTAAATATATCTTGTTATCTGAATTTTAAGACTGCTTTTAGATTTTATTACTATGAAGTAATATGCAGATTTACACAGTTCAGGCATTTTTTAATTTGACTTACCAAAAGCTATGTTTCTGAAAAGCACCTGAGTTAAGATCTTTGCTTAAAATTGGCTTCTTGGTGCAATTGTTCAATTTTTGTCCCATCATTCGCCTGATTAAAGCATCATCTGTGTTTGGAAACAACTGTTTTGTGATTCCTGCAAAATTAAGAGATGATATATATACGGACCCTCCAAATCAGGGAAACAAAAGATGTGCGATATAAAATATATTTCTTCCATCTTTTAAAGTTCCAGCTACTTCAGCTTCTACTCTAGTTACTTCACAATCTTTACAAACTCCTTCATAGATTTTACACAGCTTCTGTTTTCCTTTGTGCCTTCCACATTGCTGTGCCTGCTCTTGGCAGACTCAAAAGGAACTCCAGGGCCACAAGGGCTTCTGTAGCCAGTGATTTGTGCTTGCTAATCCTCTGTCCTCATGGTCTGCTCTTGATCAGAGTCCTTTTCCTATCCTCATCAGTCCTTATGACTCTGAATCTTACTCTTTTTTTCCTCATTAATTTTCTTTTGCAGGTGATGTCACTTTTTCTAAAAATTTCCCTTCTGTTTTGCCTGGCTACATTTTTTGAATGCAATAATAACGGGACTCAACATGAGTCCTGCACCCTTCTTTCCATCATCTTCTCTCCCCTTGATTTCTCTGCCCTTTAATTTAATTTTATTTTGAAGTCCTACAATTTCCATCTTCTTTAAACAATCTGATTTACTAACTCATTTTCTACAAGCCTAAAACTCCTAGGCTTCCTTCTCATTTTTCTTTGTCTCTTGTATAATGTTGACACTTTTCTGTTTAAATTCCAGAGTATTCTCTTCTACCTTAACAAAGTTCTTTGGTTTCTTTAAAGGATTTGTCACTGAATTCTCCACAACATGCTGTATTCCATTCTCTGATTACCTTCTCTGATTCCCTTTTCAATTTTGCCAAGGCCCTAGTAGGATTTAGAATAATTTAGGTTGAAAAAGACCATTAGTCCAACCATTTTTCTCATCCCATTAAATATTTTTCATTTTTCTAAAATGTCATTCTGAAACTGTTTCATCTTACTGCCTCTAAATATATTTTTACCATCCTACACACTCTTTCCTTTTATCTTTCTTGACTTGCAGCTTTTTTTTTTCTAACGAGGTTCTTAAGAAAAAAAATGATTTTGCAACTGATAACTTTTGAAGCTGCTGTATAACTTCAACAAAACTATACTAAGGTACAGGAACTGGAGCTAAACTGAGAAAGGAACCAAGAGAACTGCAAAATGCAAGGGAATAGCAATGGGGGAGGAATTATAGTACAGTAAGTAAGGCTATATTGTTCTAGTATTTAGTCATAGGCGTGAATCTAATTAAAATTTGGCTTCATATGCTCACAAAATACTGTTTTCTTTAAAGCTAATACTTCCATCTGAAATTATTTTCTGTCCTACGCACCAAATATTTTCTGCTGTAAACCTCAGCATAAATCAAATTTTGTTTGCTTCTCTGATCGCTATTTTTGTCTTCTATACACTCTCATTTTGCCTCTAGCGCTATTTAAAATGTCAGAATTCATAACATTCACTAAACTTCAGAACACAGCAGACATAATTTAAAATTTGATCCAAGCGTGTCCTTTTTTGCCTTCCCTTATCTGTTATCATCATGCTCCAAGTTTTACTGTTGCAGATTAACCTTGCAAGGGCTAAAACAATTTACAATATCACTGTTCCTGAGCAGTCACCTGAATAAAACGCACAGAATTCACACAACACTACTACATTGCATTTCACTGGCAGTATTTATAACAGACGGTTTTAAAAAGCATGTAGCTGAAGAAGGAAATAGCAAGCAGCTCATCACCTGAATAGACCAGCTGCTAAGCACAACAGCCCCTCCCTCCAAGAAAGCCCCCTGTCAAGTCAGAGACACGTTGAGTAACTTAACAAGTCATCACCTATGATTTCCTGAACTTCATTCTGATTCATAGCTGGTTTTGCCGCTTTATCCTTTGAAGAGGAGGACTTTGCACCTGTCAGGCTGTGTGTAGCCATGTATTCATGTGTATAAAGTGCTTGCATCAAGTCATTTATAAATTTTTGAGGTTTGCTCTTGTTACAAAGTGCAATCTGCCACTTTTCGATCTTGAACTGGAAAACAAAATTGGTCATAGGCATAACTACTGCAGTTTTCTAGAAATATTATATACTATTACCACTGAAATATCTTTTTCATTTTCTATTTCTAAACCACTATTTCAAAATTAATCTCTGCAAACAGTGTGCTTGAGGTAACACCACACTTGCATACTGCTCAGCATTTGGGACTATACACACAGCTTGATTATTTTCCAGAAGGAAGTGTGGGGCAGACTAAGGACCCCATGCATCCTACCAAACCCTCCACCATCCTTATTACTCACTAGTGAAGACAGGACATGTTCAGACATAGCAAAATCCTTCTGCTTGCTCTCCATGCAGGCTGGCTGTGGTCCAGTTCTGACATGGTTTCTGTACTGCCTTGGTAGCGTGGCACTGTGCCCAAGCAAATATTCCTGCCTGCGAGCAGACATGCCCTAAGAACTGCGACATCTGGTCCTGGGCTTTGAGAGTGGCTTCTGCATGCAGCAGTGGTACAGCCAAGAGCTTGAGCTCTCCTAATAGGCAGTTTTGAGCTACCTCTATAAAGTAAGGCAGGCTGCTCAGAAAATTAGATATTTTTATTTCTTTGAAGATGTTAGGTCAAATTTTGTGGTTTCCAATATGCAGTCAAAACATACCATGATAATTCTTAACAGACTTCTTCGGATTTTAGCACTCGATGACAACACACAGGAATTATTTGCATGGATTAGCATAACCCAATGTATAATAATGTTTATTTAAATTGTGAATGCAGACTCTACAATCATTCTTTTGGTTGTGCCTTCATTTTTTTCATGTACAGCCCCTGTGTCTTAGATTTCTTAATCATGTTCTCTTATAATTGCAGAGAATAAGGGAACTTCTTTACTTAGTATCTCTGTATACACATATTTCTACTTAACTGCTAGCCAGTGTCTGGAACAGGAGAAGAAACATAGCAGCCTCCAATTACAAATTAACAGTTTGAACAGACTGCTGGTATTCATCTTAGATTATCTTTGAAATACTATTATTCCCCTTTGGCATACAAACAATTAGGCTGGAAGTTATCCCTGGATCTTGGCATTTTCATCATGTATCCACATTCTGCCCTTTGCCACAGATATGCAAGGCCACTGAAATTAAAGTGAATTTGAGAATATACAGGACACTGAATAAAAACTAATGTTCTCATGGAAAGAGCATTCTGCACATAATTAACTCTTTAGTTATGTTATCAATGCAATGATGACAAATTATTTTACTGATGGTTATTTTTTATATTACGTTATAGCAGTAAACTTTATACTGTATAAAGTTTCATGCCTGAAATTGCCTTTTAACTGACCTGTTTTTCAGTCTGTTGCTCCTCTTCTTCCACATTCAAAGTTATTGGTGAGCTGGAGTTACTATGCATAGCTGCATAGGAATCTGCTAATGGATTGTGAGATGCCTTCCAAACAGCATGTGGATGCAGACTGGACGTAGATGATGTCACTCCCCCTTTGAGCAGTGCTTCAGCCATCCCTACCAGTTCCTCAAAATGAGTGACTGCCTGTGGCAACACTGAAATCAGATGAAAAGTGAAGGGTAAAATAGTAATGGAAGCTTTCAGACTCCAATTACATAAGCAGAGATATTTTTGCAATTAGATTCCTGTCATAATGTGAAAGACCCAAAATAGTCAGCAAAGACATTTCAATATACATTTTTCCTCCTCTCTCAAATGCTTTCCTGCCATTCTGCTGTCCCCTCCCATGAAGACCTGGGCTCAGTTTCTAGAATAGATCAGTTCAGTGAAAGGTTAAGAGGAACTATTAGTTTATGCCCATCCTGGGACAAAACAGACTATTTCTCTTTTTTCTTTTTACAATCTCAAAATCTCTGCAAGTCCATAAAGCTATTGAATATGGGCTAAGTGATGTCTGATTCTTTTTCCTTGAAAGAAATTACACAGATTGCAGAGGTTTTTCTTTTTTTTTCATCTATAGAGAATATGTTTTAAATAATCTGTCCTCAAAGTAATATTTTCAAATATAAACTTTTATTGCATCCATTAAGAAGAATCAATGCAGAGCAAAAAGGATGCAAGAGATATCAGCAAGACACAGAATCACTAAATTAAATAAAATATTGTAAAATACTAAGATAATTGCTCAGGATGCAAGGTAAATTGACTTATGTGTGAGAAAAGTTGCCCAACACAAAGAAAATGTTTACAAATAATATTTAAAAAGGTGGAGATGAATGATTCAAACCACGATGAATAACATAAGAGATGCAATCAGGTGGGAAATGAAAATGATTAACAGTTGCAAAATCATCTGACAATAAAAAAAAAAAAAGCCAGATACCACCACATTGTCTAGAATGGTGTAGCTGGCACAGGAGGGAGTAAATCCTCTTTAAAACTTATTCACTCACTAGTGGTTTGAAAGTTTGGATTCAGTTTTAGCTGCCTCAGAGTAAGGGACAGGGACAAGTGAGAGGCACTTCAGAGATGATCACTAAGAGATGAAGGATTCATGTAGAAAGGAACAAAATTTTTCATCTCTAGGGAAGAATTAAATTTGGTGCATCTGAAACTAACTCAGATTATCAGTAATGAGGAATTACCAAAGTAATTAGAAATTAAGTAATTTCAGAATAAATGAAATATCAATTGATCAAGAAAGACTGCTAGTAAATAAGGGTCACTGGACTGGTCACTGAAGTATTTGAGCTTAGCCAATGGTTACACAGCATACAGAAAGGTTCTCCTGGGAATAACTAACAGGATTGAGACACATTTTTCATTTCTAACTCTATGATTGCATGGCCTCTGTGTAAGTCAGTAAGTGCTGCTGGAATTAAATGCTGCCATGTATCACAGACTGTGATGCTAACGGTAGGCCTTGATCATGTCAGGTGCTTGAGCATCCATAATTCCCAACTAAATGGCCTCTTATAAATCAAGCTTTTCATGACCTTCAGGCTTTCCTCTTCATCAAAATACTCCCAACTTTACCTTGAAGCATGACCAGGGACTGCCTTAGGCGGCAGTTTTCTCTCATGGTATCTGTCAGCTTCCTCTTGAGACTTTTAATTTTGGCACATAGTTCCACCTTGGAGAGTTGAAATAAAGGCTCTTCATCATCACTGCTACTTTCACTATATAGAAAGTTGCTTCCTGAGTATGGTTCTCTCTGAAAAAAAACCCAAACAACTGTGATATCTAGAGCAAAAACAACATAAAATCAAAGCATCAAAACTAACATTAAAATATCTGGCTAAATAAAAAAATTCTCTTGTATAAACAGACTCAGTGCATTTTAATAAAAGCTTTTATCAAACATAGCTATTAATATTCTTATTAAAATTAAAAATGAAACATCAGTGTAATATGTAACTGTTAGGTATCTTTGTCTGTTCTCCATCAATTTTCTAGAGCAGCATCTTTTAGAATGGTCAACTTCACTACAGCAAAAATCCCATGCCTCCCTCAAAAATACCTTTCAGACTGCTTTTACTTGATATATTAAAATTGCTGAAAAGATGTTTACCTGTTTGTTAATTAAAGATGTTTCAAGTTGACTCAGGATGTTGGCAGGAGCAGGTGCCTGCAACGATTTCTTTCTTTTTATATGTTTCATCATCTTCCCCTGTAAAAAATGCATAACAGTGCCTTTGCATTCCTATAGAGACTTTCATTACAGTATTTCATAATATACCATAAGTTTTTATTCACTGTGCACTTGACAGTCTTGGTTAGTAGTTTTAAAGAATGTATCTGTAACTTTGTTAACTTTTATGTTTTCCTTGCCTATATTTTGTCACTGCAGGTCTCAGCACAAGGCACACCTCAGAAAACCTGGTCCCTTCCCTTTTTTACGCACTAGTCGGATTTCTGCCTTATGGGGGAAAATGCAATGGAGTTACAGAGCATCAAAGCCTTGAGTAACACTCATCTCTTGACACAGAGAAGGACAAAATCCATTTGCCTAAGTAATTGCTCTGGCAGATTATTGTGCTGAGGTACCATGTGAAGGCTGCCTGTGTTCCTACCTTTACTAGACATCCTTTGTGTGTTATGTCATGAAGAATCAATAGTTGCAGTCTATTTCATTCCTTTGTGGACCTAACAATATAAGGCACATAAAGACACAAACTCACCTTTTCTTTATCCAGGTCACTGTCCTCACTTTCTGAGAATATCATTTCTATCCTCTTCCTCTTGCCTTTTCCAAGGACTTGTATTTTTGTAATTTCATCTGCTCGTAATATCTTTTGCATCATTTCCACTAGCTCTTGGGGGTCATCTGAAGTGATGGAAAGGAAAAAGACCAAAGCACAGACAGTCAGGCAACTATAACTTAAAAGCATGTTTCATAGCAGACAAATGTTCTGGAACTGCACTCACCACTCATGTACACAACTTTCACCAGGTGCTTTTCTGTCTTTCTTTCTCCCACAGGCCAGTTTACTAGTACGTGCTCATTAGGCTTCAGAAGCCTTTCTAGTTCATTGTCATCACAGGGAAGGTCCTGTATCCATGAAGTCTCTCCAATTTGCAGTGAATTATCATTTACAAAATCAAAGAGTGTAAATTTTTTCATTGTTAAGTGGCTTTCTTGTCACACAGACACTTCCTGGAGGACATCAAAGGAAAAATAGCAGTTACTGTATCATGCCACAGGGATGTTACAAGAACCCTTTGGAAAGCCCCAAACAACCCTCCTTTTGCTGGATATTGGTAATTACCTTGTATGAAAATATCCTAAGAAAGTGAAAACTAGCCAAGCAGTGAGTTGTATCCCCCTTGAAAGATGGGAGATGGTCTGTTTAACACCTGTACATCAGACATTTTCCTACAAAACTATGCACAGAAAACAGCTTTCGCTCACAGAGCCCTGGCCTCCATATTACTTCTGTGTTCAATCTGGCTGGGATCTCTACTGTTTCTACATTTGTCTCAATAAAATTTTTAGTCCAGCTTCTGGCTGAAAGATACAGGTGTGATAGAACCTTTCCCTCAAATGGAAGAAAATGCTAGCTATTCATGCTATTAAGTGGGATGTATGGTTATCATTTCATGGTCAGGAAGACAATTGCAGCCACAGAAAACCAACCCAGAACTACCCAGGACAACTGAGTGGGTGAGGTATGACATATCCTGGCAGTGGAAAACTTGATGTACAAAAGAAGTGACAGGCTAAGGACTCGAAGAGAGCTGGGCTGCTTCATGAGAAATAACAGCAGCAAGGAGAACCCAACCCAAAATATACAGTTAAATAATTTGCTTTATAAAACAATACTTTTAAAGCAATATGCTGTTCTGGGTTTTTTAAAGCACTGAATTTCTCTACCAGGAAAAGGGAACAAGTCATACTTTGAGCTTTATTTTCCCAATTAGGATGATAGCTTTTCATGAAAGTATAAATTCTACTGGAAATGTAACCATTTCTTTTAAGTGTTGCCACTATACTCAGAGAAGATATTTTCTACTTTAAATTTATTAAATCAATACATAGAAAATCTGATTTTCAAACCTGAGTCTTCTTTCCAGCAAACATATGGTCAATTCATAAAGGTGAACTACTTTCACAGAGCTGAAAACTCACGAATTCCTAGATGTGACAGTGTGATTTGCGATTGACTTGGCCTCAATCAGTCAGAAGCAAATTTAGTGCCTCATGAAGAGGCTGTCAAAAAGGTAACTCAGAGCTAGAAAAGGAGAATTACATGGGGCTATTATGTCAAAGGGAGAATATCTAGCTGCACTACTCTATGAAGTAATGTCAATTCTTTTGCAGAAGTCCAGTTTGCCACTATTCCACATGTCTGTTCTATGTCTCAACAGAGCTGGCTTTCCATACAGGGTTGAACTTGTTAATTGGCAAAAGACAGCTGCAGTCTTGTCAACATGTTTACTAATACAACGGGGCAAACAATATAGATAAGAAATCACCATTAAAAGGAGTATTAAACCAAAGTTTTATGCAGAATATGCTTAGTGTGATAACAGTAGGATTGCTAAGTATTGTCTCACTGGAGAAAGGAGACTTGTGTTTGCAAGAATTGACATTATTTTTCTTTAAAGATCAGAAAACATCCATCCCATGCAAATTCTGGAAGAGGAAGCACCCTGAATATCTCTGCCCAGCATGACTCACTAGAGACTTCATTCTACCACTGATCCATGCTGGATGGATACTCATACCACAGACAGGGATCATTCAAATGAATAAACATATAGACAAAACAGAATCCAAAGGAACAAAAGATCCAGCAATGACCTCACTATGGACAGGTAAGGTCCAAATTGGAACTTCGTGTTTGTCTGAACAACAAAATACCAGATTTGAAACAGGTAGAGTATGTAATCAGTTGGGCATCAGTATTCCTTCTTTTTCAAAATGCCTTTGAGTATATACTTCACTCAGCTCAACATTTTTCATCTGGCTCAAAGATATTATTTCTGCCTCTGATAACTCAGCACAGCAATTTCCACAACCCAGTTCTTTGATTCTCAAATGAAGTACTTTGATATTTCCTCCCTAGGCCTTGGCAGTTGTGAGCTACTTCTTTACTCTCCTAAAAGCCCACATAAGAGCCACAGAATTGCAGCAAAATTAGAGCTGCCAGTGTGCTGTCTAGCAACTGACTGATTTCTATATTTTTTTAATATTTCCCTGCAGTCCTCTAACAGTTTGTCTTTTGTCTCTCATTTTGTATTAAGACAAATATTCTCTGAACCACGTTGGGACGTTTGTGTGGTCTGAACTTGTACTGGGTTAGCAAGCCAGCCCAGGATTTCCAGAGGTACACTGAATGTACAGGCTGTCACAGCATGCAGGGCAAGTGATGATCCCCCACATCAGGCACCAGGGCTAGTCCCGTACACACTGTGCCAATACCATGCACATCAGTACCAAGTGCAACAGCTTTTGGAAGGTATCAGACTTGCCTACATTTTTAAACAGCTTAATGGAGCCAGTGGAAATGTGGACTTCTGGATGTTCAGAATCCATGAGAGCAGCCTGGTGCCACTGGTAGACACCGTGAAGCACATGGACAACAAATTATCTCACACAGTCCTTACACCAGGCAAGCACCTGGATCCAAGAAAATACCTCCTGCCTCTTTAAGCGAAGGACAATTTTTACCATGGTCATGGCAGGATGCGGAGCTCAGCAATTTATCTGCATTATATATAAAGTTCTTCTGAGCTGACAAGATTCTTGCCTGTGGTCAGAGGGTGTACTGACAGCTAAACCAATTTCACTAAGGAATGTCCTGCTGTTTATAAAGGGAGCAAGGCAGGAAAGCAGTTGAGGGGCAGCAAACAACAACTGACCAGGCCCCCTTTTCTCTGCTGCAGCTCTACTGGACATAAGCCCAACTGCTTGTGTTATGGGTAAAATGATGAAATCATTACATTGCCAAATAAAAGGAACGGAGTGTAGTAGTTGATTGTAAGTATTTTTATGTTAAGGAGCAATGCCTTCAGCTCCTGCAGTAGACATTAATCAGACTTTTCATAGAATTTATTGTGACAATACATGGGCCCTGGAGATAACACCTAACTGTCTGCTGGCATCATTTCTAGCCAGTGATTAAAGGGAATGGAAAGGTAGAACAAAATGTCACTATTAAGGAAAAGGAACAGTGAAACACTTCACTTTCTGGAAGAGAAGTCTTGCAGTGTTTTCTCACCCTGACCTCCCACAGGAGTCAATGTGAATCTTGTCCAAGGACTGCTGGAGATGCTTCCCTCCAAAATCTTATTTGCCAAAACAGATCAAAAGGCAAAATATAATGTATCATCAGAAAACAAGCAAAATAACTTGGGGACTGGGATTAACATTAACCAAACCTTTACTGCCTTAAAAGTTAGAGGTTGTCTAGCCACATTTGGCTCAGTCACTGCAGAAAGGGAGCTGATTCATCTCACCCTATGACACGTGTCTAAAAGACAGCAGATGACTTACTGTCTGGGAGAGCCTGTTTCTCTCCACCAGCTACTCAGTGACTATAAAGTTGGTGTGTCTCCTTACAGAAACTGGCCTGGTCCAACTCATCTTGTATCACCTTTTTATGGTTTTGAACAGATTTTGAATAGTAGGATAGATTCCAGTAGACCAGCAGAAGTTAGAGAGCCGAAAGGATGGCATAAGAAATCTGTTAAAGTATATCTGGTTCTTTGTTTTAAATTTTTCTGACATAACTCTGCAAGTCATCAAGTAAGATTTCTGACACTGAATGCTTTGTTCAGTGGTTCATTTGGAGGAAACATTATTGTTCACAGGCATTACTCTGTGTGCAGCTACTAACCACAAAGACATTATATGACTTTTGAAAGCCACTTATGCTTTACAAGTTATTTAATTCTGCTATATGCTCTATTTGAAAACACTGCTGATTTGAGTAATACTGAAATGCAAATTTACGATTTTTCACTATTCTAGGTCATTTATAGAAGGGAAAAAAAAAAAAAAAGGAAGGAGCCATATAATTTTAAAGTTCTGCAGAGGAAACATTAATTGGACTCTTAATTTTTACAAACATGTTAACACCTCACATACTGCAAAAATGTTATAATTTTTTTAATCGTGATATTGTTACTAAGCAACACAGAAAGCCAAAACAAAACCAAACCAAAACCACACAAGAAACCCCAAAGCCACCAAAAATCCACAAAGGTCACTTAAAGATATATCTCACCCTTTGTCTGACATAGTCTGTTCCATTCAGACAGAGAACTGGCAGATGGCATGCTGAAATAATTATTTCTCTTTTCCTTCAATAGACTCAGTGCAAAGTGTTACAAGTTTACAACATGAGATTTTGCGTACCCGTTTGATGAGTCTGATTCTGTTGGCTTAAAGCAGGGCTTTGACACTGGTTTCAGCAAGTCAAGGAACTGATCCACAATTACAGTAAATGGTCAGGTTTGCTATAGAGTTGCCTTAAACTGGTGAAGAACTGATGAGACTGGTTGAGAAGAACACGAGATGTGCCCCTGCCTATCTTATACCTGGCTCAAGCAAGGTGTAAGGACTGAATGATGCCCGGGTGAAGCAGAAGTCTCAGAGAAGCCCCAGAGAAAACCTGCACCTCTCTACCAGCCACTCTGCATAACGAGCCTTGTTATAAATGTGGTCCTTTAAGGAGGCAAAGATGTACTCAAAGACTTTCTAGTGAAGGTCAGACAGCCTTTACTGCCACCTCAGCAGGTGGAGAAGGACCAAAGTGTTTATTCTACCTTTTGTGTCAATTATAAGTCCTGACTGAAAATAACCAACACACTCATTAAGCCCTATTTGCATATTAACTTTTACATCCTAAGAATGCAAATGAAGAGAAATGGAAACACACCTTACATGCATAAAGGAAGGGGGGCGGGGTTTGGGGCAAAGAAAGAAAAAAGAGAGAGGGGAAAATACCTTTGCCTACTTGGGATCGGTTGATGGACTGTCCTCCTCCCCTGAAGGGATGCCTCTAGGTGAGATTTGTGCCTTCAGTGCATTGTAAAGACCTAGGAATATTTTTATATTTCCATCTAGACATCAGCAATAGAGCTCTGTTACTATCACCTGCTGTAGTGATACACTGTAGTTAGTGCAATCCTGAATCTGCTTTCCTGTTA